TTTTATTGAAAAGACCTTAATTTTGTTGAAATAGCGGAGGATCAAGGGTATTTTAATCCTCATAAGATGCATCTGTTAGAATTGCATATGTATGCCTATCTTTCAAATCGTCAAGAATTGACCTCCAAGATTTACATCCTAAAACATTGATGATAAGCGTTGCTCATTTTTGTTCTACAAGTATAGGTTTCATTTATATTCGAGTCGTTAAATATTATGGGGAAAAGATTCTACCTACATTGTGATGATAAGTATCTCTGTGAATGTTGTACTACAAGATAAGTGATTACAATTGCCGCAATTGTAGTTGCATCTGTATTATTTCTTATTTACGGAGTACCTTATTATGTATTTAAACGTGATACGTGATAATTAAGCGCCTATCCCTATAATGTTATACACACACACGGTAGATTTCCAATTGCTGTCGTTTTGCGGGACATTCGCATAAAATATATTTAATTGTAAAATTATAATCGTTTTTTTTATAAAATTTTATCTTGTTTACATTTTTTTTATATTAAAAAAGATGTTGGTTTTTTTTATAAATTAATATATTTTAATAAATCAAGATGTTATTTTATTTTGAAAAATAGTTACCGATTTTGTATTTATATATAAAAAAAATAATAGGCGGATAATTAAGCAATTCAAAATCCCTTTTGTAGCAATTTTTATATTTCTACCGCAATTTTCATATTTCTCCCGCAATTTGAAAATTTTGACCTGGCAACCGTGTCAGGACTTAATGTGATTTGTACACTGCTTTGTTAATCCTTCATTACTTTCATCTACAACCCTAAATGATATGAAATTATACATTAATTATTTCCTCTCCAGACGACCGCCCAGATTTATTTTGTCGCTTTTTCCATCAAAAATTAAAATGTCAACAAAGATTTGCTCTTAATTTTATCAAATACATAATAATTAATCATTATTTTTTTTAAAAATTATCCTAAATTTATATGTCAATATATCTTAAAAAATATATAAATAATTTGCATATAAGTTTCATTAGTGTTTAATGGCATTTTTGTAATTTAGATAGATAGCATTTTTTTATTTTACTTAACATAAAAATATATATATCCCTTATCAAATTCTTTGACAAATAATTTCGGAAATGCAAGACATATATTAAATTTATCTGAAAAACAATAACCCTATATAATAAACAACGATTTATTTTTTAGATATAATTTTAATTGATCATATTACAAAAAAGTATAAGAGTCGGTTATTTTTATTTTATTTGTCATGATTCTCTAATAAGTGGTTTGCCAGGCCTTCCAAGTTTCCCTTAATATGGAATTTACATGTTTTTTTTTGCATATTAGACTAATTGGTAAATCAGATATTTCCCCTTCATGTGATGATAAATCAATTAAAAATTTAACTATCTCCGAGGTGGGAAAAAATTTTCAAAAATATAATGGGTAGGACTGGGCTTGGAATTTCAAAATTAATATTAGCTTGCACCTGACTTGGGAATATCTTTTAGAAATTATTAAGGGTTGAGCTGGGCTTGATAAACTTTTTTAAAATTATAAGATCTTGGATGCTTCCTAATATTGTGAGCTTGAACCTGGCATGACATCTATCGTAAAAAATGAAAATCTCATTCCCCGTCATTTTTGATGGGCTTTCTACTAGTGCTAATAATTTATTGGCCCAACGTAATAACTTCTGATTTGTTAATAAACTTAAATCTCTGTTATCATATATCTTTATTAAAGGTTTATGGTCCGTTCGTATTATAAACTTACTAAATGGTTTTGGAATTTTTCTACGCCGTTTATTATTGCTTTAGCTTCTTTGTCTATTGTAGAATAATTCTTTTCAGTGTCTTGTAAAGTTCTTGAGGTGTATGGTATTGAAAATTCGTCGCCGTTATTTTATTTTTGCAGGAGTACAGCTCCAAATCCTTGGTTAAATGCATCTGTTTCTAATATTAACTCGAAATCCGGTATATAAAACTGTATAGTATTTTGTTCTTTTACCATTCATTTTGCTCTTTCAAAATGTATCATCTTTTTTATTACAATACCATTTATCATTTATACTAGTTATATTATGATATTCAGCTATAATTTCATGTAAGTTTGGTATGAACCGTTTATGATAGTTTAATATACCTAAAAATGATTTTATGTCATGTATATTATTTGGAGTTGAATATTTTTGCATTACTAATTTTCTTTTTATCTGGGTTATTCCATTTTCATCTATTATTAGACCTGTGCGCCGGGCGGCCGTTGGCCGGCCGCCGATTTTTTTTGGTTACGCCGAAATACTTTTTCTTTCAAAAAATTTATTTTGCTAGTTTTGACTTTTGATCCCGCATTTTGTAATTTTTCGAGGACTTGTTTTATATTTTCTAATGTTCTGGATCATTTTTTCCTGTGATTATAACATCGTCTAAATAAACGGATGTATCTTAACAGTCAGCCAGTATATATCGTTGAAATAGTATTGGTGCTGTATCTATACCAAAAGGTAATCTTAAATAGCGGTAGTATATATTTTACCATTGTTAATAATTCTTGCGATTCTTCATCAATACTCATTCTTTTTGATCTAATGTTGTAACTTATTTCCGCTAGCGATCTTTACGATTAATTCTTCAAACATTGGTAGAATTGATAGTCATTTAGTAAAAATTTATTCAATGTTACTTTGAAATCACCACATAATCGTAGTTCACCTGAAGTTTGAAGTACTAATACCATTAAAGTACTCCAAGTTACTCTTGTTGTTGGTATATCTTTTTTATTTATTATTTAAACAATTCAATTCATTTTCAATTTCTACTTTTAATATCAACGGTACTATTCTTGCTGATAGAGTTATTGGTTTTGTATTTTCTTCTAATTGTAGTTTTACTGGTTCTACAGTTTTTATTAATCCTAATTTAGTATCAAATTAGCAAAATTCTTTATAATTTTTCAATATTTACGTTTCCATTATCAATTCCTGATCATATTGCCTTTTACCTTTGTTGGTCAAGATAGATCAAATTTTATAGTCCATGGAAATCGAAATAGCGCTGCATCATTTGTTTTTGTAACTAATAAAGGAAGCCATTTTATTTTATCATCTAATTGAACTTTTACATAAGCTTCTCCCATAATTTTTATTGTATTGTTTCCATAAGCTTCTCCCATAATTTTTATTGTATTGTTTCCATATTAGTTGAAGCTCTAACCATACTAAATTTTGGCCTCCCAATTTTATTCTATATTGTTGCATTAATGATGGTTACCTGAACCTTTCATATTCCATTCTATTTTCATGGTTGTATATTACCATAATTTTTGGGTGCTGTCTATATTTGTAGACTTTTTTTATCGAGAAATCACTATTGTAATTTGTACTGTAAACTTTTCCTCCAGTTTTACAAAACACGGCAAAGTGGTTTAATTTCTTAGATTTTCTGCACGTTTTCCCGTATGCTGGATAATTCCGAATAGCATGAAAATGATTACAAAAATAGCACGGTTTTCTTATTTGTGTGGTAGTTATTATAACCTTGAACTGGTTTTCTTATTATTTTGATTATTCATCTCTTTGATTTTATAAACCTATTATTTATTTCTAAGTCGGCCCGTTTTATCGCTAAAGTCATTTCTATAACCCTATTTTAGCTTAACGGTTGCTCTTCGTCTTTAGTATCTGGGTATCTTAACTGTAGTTATTTTTATCAATTTGCGACATCTTTAATCCAGCGTTTAATTGATCACGAATTCGTCAATATTATCTTCAAATTCACATCTACGAACTAGTTCCTTTATATTTTTTAAATAACTCATTACTGATTCTTTTGGCCCCCGACTAAATCTAATAAAAATAATTCCAAGAAAGAAGTTTCCTCTTCCTCTTTACGAAATTCTTTTAATGTAATTTTTGAAATATCACCCATAATTTCTAAAAAAAATATATAATTCTATTTATATTCTTAAGCGAAGACCACGTTTTTTTTTATTTCGTTGCCAATTTTATATCTTTAAGGAGCATAATAAAATATATGATCAATAGTTTTTAAAATAAAGGTCGCGTTTATAAATATTCATAAATCCAAAAAGCATTATTCATTATCTATGAAATTTATTAATCTTATCATTCTCAAAATATATTAGAATTTTATCAAGTCGAGGTTTATAAAATTAAGATAAATAAATGTTCAAATTTTAAAAAAATATAACTCCAAACCCTCAGATATATTTTTTTAAAAAAGATAGATAGGCCCCATTGTTTTTCCACTATATAGTCAGAAGTTACCCATTTTGCAAAATTTCTTCTAAATCATAAAATATAACACAAAATATTTCACTTATCCAATAAATCTGATTATTAGATGCCTTTTCTGTAAATTAAAAAAAGTGTCCAATAATTTAAATATAAATTACATAAAATAAATACACTCCCATTTAAAAAAAATCGCACTTTATAAGCTCATTATTTTCTATATTTTAATCTATTATTTTTACACTGTGTTCCAATTCAACTGGTACTCTTTTGTTTTAGCGATAAATCTGACAATACTAAATATATAATTTGATAAAATTTTACAGAGATATATAATTTGATAAAATTTTACAGAGAGATGGATAAATGATCATTTCTGCAAATTTCCTCAAATTCCATCAACAGAATCTAAGGTTATGCACATTCAAAGTTGTACAAAAACAAGATTCAAACTATCCAACATGTAAAAAAATTTTTTTAATTCTTTAAATTTTACAATTTGACAAAAACTTGAAAATATTAAATTAATTTGAGTCAAATTTTGTACTTCAAAGCTTATGTTCAAATGGCCGCCATTAGCTAGAATATTTGCTCCAAGATCAACCCTTGATCAAACTATTCCATCATGTTGCATAATGAAAATTAAACTATTAACTTTGTATTGACATTTCCTTATTTTTGTGTATTTGAATAATTGGCTTAACTTTTATTATTTTTATATTTTTTATAATTCTTTATTTTTGTGAAGCATTCAAATTGTACAAAGATTTTTTGTATATATACCGGTGATATTTTGTAAGACATAATATTTTACAAATAAAACAATTAAATTTACATTTCCATCATTAAGCTTCCATTTTAGCATGGGGCACCGCTGTATTTTATATTCTATTTGATATTTATTATTGAATAGCCCGATCAAGATATTGCTAATAAAGAAAATGAAAACCCCATAAATATTAATAAAAATATTCCTATTCTATCTATTAAAAGAAAAAAAAGAAAAATGATTGAATCTGAAAAAATAGATTTACGTTTCCATCATTTAGCTTCCATTTTAGCATGGGGCACCGCTGTATTTTATATTCTATTTGATATTTATTATTGAATAGCTAGATCAAGATATTGCTAATAAAGAAAATGAAAACCCCATAATTATTAATAAAAATATTCCTATTCCATCTATTAAAAGAAAAAAATTAAAAATGATTGAATCTGAAAGAATAAAAATATTAAAAGGTAAAATAATTTTATAATAAATATTACCTCGTCATAGTATCCTCAAATGAAGCAATTTCAATATTTTGATCATCAAGTGGGTTTTCAATTTCATTAAGGTATTGTGCAGCCTATTAAAATATATAATTTTATAAATAAAAAACTATTTTATATTTTTGCCTTTTAATATTTTACATTTGTCTGTGCCAGTTTAAAACTTGACTCAGAATATTTGGTAATATTATCAACATTCTCTTTTAACCTTAAATATTCTTCAACATATAGTAAATCTTTACTTTTTATGTTGGTTGCCCCTCACCTATTAAAATTATAATATAATATAAATTTATTTTTTCCATATTTTTGTTGGGTGAAAGAATATAATTTATTAAATTTAGCCTTTACACGACTTAAATATTTCTTCTACACTTGATCATAATTCATATTTATGTTTTTCCTATTTTCTACAGAATCTCTGAATTTTGCACCAGAGGTTCCTGTGCACTCTTATGCTTTCCATAAAATTATATTCTGACACTAAAATATATCTATCTATAATATATATAAAAGGGTTCCATGTCAATTCAGCGAAACTTTTATCGCGAAACTTTTATCGCGAAACTTTTATCGCGAACGTCGATTATCGCGAATAAATTTTATAGCGAAACTTTTATCGCGAATCCACATTAGCGAATATTTTTCCGATAAAACAATATAGCGAAACAAATATCGCGAATTTTTTATAGCGAAACTCTTATCGCGAAACCTTTAAAGCGAATAGCGCGATTGCGATCGCGATTTAACAGCTGATTGATTTTTAAAATCTGTTTATGAGATCAATTATTCTTTATTAAAATCATTATTTCTTAGATTATCATTAAAATTTGAATTAAAGATAAAATTAATATTAACAAATAAAAATTGAACTCATAAACAGATTTTAAAAATCAATCAGCTGTTAAATCGCGATCGCAATCGCGCCACTATGAATTCAAGGTAATCGCGAAAATTTTATAGCGAAGTCAATATCGCGAAACATAAATCGCGAAGACAATATAGCGAAAACTATTTCGCGAAATATAACGCGGCCTATTATTATTTTTTTATTTTTATTAAAATAATTTATTTTATTTATATTTAATATTAATGTTAATATTTTATTTTTCATTTCTTTTATTGATTATTTTTTTAATAAAAAAATGATATGCTACTATTGTATATTATTTTTGTTACAATTTATTAATGATTTTCACACGCCCAAAATTTTAAGCAAAAAATATTTTTTGAAGTTCAAAAAGATTTTATATTTTGATAAAAATTTTAAATCTTTTTTGAGGAATTCTTTTTGGAATATTATTATAAATAAACAATCTTTTAGGTGAAAACTTTTATAGTTTTTTTTATCATTTTTGTAAAATTATCTATTTTTTAAGTATATTAAAAGAATGGGTTTTCTAAATAATATTTTTTAAAAATATTTTTATTTAACTTATTTATATGTATATGATCTTTTTAAGGATAATAATTTAATCTGACAATTTTATTCGTCATTGAAGATGTGTTCTTGGCAATTATCGGTTAATGATGCTTACCACCAAGTGAATGTATGGAAATATTTTAAATACCAATCTAATTTGCTAAATACCGACCAAAATTTATTAAAATGTAATAAGACCCTTATTATTTAATATATTAATACGGAATCACGTGCTCGAGTCCGGCCTTCTATATATCCTCCCCCCAAGGATGGAACCACCAAGTTAGAATAAGAAAAAAAATATGATCATTCCCGGGATTCGAACTCGGGAGCATAGGATAAGTAAGCCAAGCTCTTGCCTACTAGGCCATAGAGGCTTTCCAAAAATCACGATTTTTCAAATATATATTATAAATATATTTGGTAGTGCCTATCCAAATGAAAAATGAACAAAATTCAAATTTGATAGATGGTACCTTAAGGCACCAAGCGTATTTTTAAATATATTAGATTTTTTTTACGGTAAAATATGTATTTTTAACATGTTAAATTAAAATTTTAATTAAGATGCACCATATAAAAGTGACAATTATCATAATCGTTATTTTTAAAGTTTTTTAAATTTTTTTGACGGAAATCGGTTAAAATAAGTATTGTTAACATATATTAATAAAACTTCAGTGAAGATGTACCCTAGATAAGTGACAATTGTCATAATTCTTATTTTTAAAGTTTTTTGAATTTTTTTGATACAAATGGGTAAAAATATAGATTGTAAACTTGTTAAATTAAAATTTCATGAAGATGTATCACAGAAAAGTGACAATTGTAATAATCCTTATTTTTAAACTTTTTTTGACGTATATGGGCCAAAATAAGTGATTCACAATCTTATTCCTTTAATTAATAAATTTTAATTCTACATTATAAAAATGTATAACCTTGCATCCACAGTTAGCAAATATTTTTGTAAACTTGTAACAAAATAGTGCTGAGTCTGAATTCAGGGTAGGATTATTATAGAAAGAACTTAAAAACCATATGAATATTATTTAATAATATGATACAATCAACATCCTATAAATTTAATGTTAAGATTTTATTATGTTTAAAATGGATTACAATCTATATTTTAGCCCATTTACATCAAAGAACTTTAAAAATAAAGATATAAAAATTGTCACTTTTCTCTTCATGAAATTTTAATTTAGCATGTTTACAATCTATATTTTAACCCATTTGCAACAAAAATATTCAAAAAAACCTTATTAACAACGATTATGACAATTGTAACTTATCTATGGTACATTTTAAGAAATTGTAATTTAACATGTAAGCAATTTATATTTTTGCCCATTTGCGTCTAAAAAATTCAAATTTTAAAAATAACGATTATGACAATTGTTACTTTTCTATGGTGCATCCTCATGAAATTTTAATTTAACATGTTTACAATCTATATTTTTACCCATTTGCGTCAAATAAATTCAGAAAACTTTAAAAATAACGATTATGACAATTGTCACTTATCTAGGGTACATTTTCATTGAAATTTTATTTTAACATTTTAGCAATACTTATTTTAGCCCATTTAAGTCAAAAAAAGTTATAAAATAACGATTATGACAATTGTCACTTTTTTATGGTACATCTTTATGAAATTCTAATTTAACATGTTTACAATCTATATTTTTACCCATTTACGGTAAAAAAATTTTAAAAAAGTTTAAAAATAATGATTATGATAATTGTCACTTATCTAGGGTACATCTTCACTGAAGTTTTATTAAACATACTAGCACTACTTATTTTATCGCATTTTGGTCAAAAAAATTCAAAAAACTTTAAAAATAATGATTATGACAATTGTCACTTTTCAATGGTAGATCTTCATGAAATTTTAAAGCATGTTTACAATCTATATTTTTACCCATTTACAACAAAAAAATTCAAACTTTATAAACAAGGATTATGACAATTTTAACTTATATCTATGGTACATCTTCACTGAAATTTTATTTTAACATGTAACAACTTATTTTGCCCATTTACGTAAAAAAATTGTAAAAAAACTTTAAAAATAATGATTATGACTATTGTTGCTTTTATATGGTACATCCTAATTGAAATTATAATTTAACATGTTAAAAAATACATATTTTTGCCCATTAGCGTTAAAAAAATCTAATATGTTTAAAAATACCTATGATAATTGCCATATTTACAAGGAACATCTTCATGGAATTTATAATTTAACATCTTTACAATATAAATGATATTTTTACCCTTTTGAGTCAAAAAATTTCAAAAATCTTAAAAATAACGAATATGACAATTGTCACATTAAAATATTATCCTTAAAAAGATCATAAAATAACATAAATAAGTTAAATATAAATATTTTAAAAAAAATTATTTAGCCACCTCTTTTAATATACTTAAGAAATAGATAATTTTACAAAAATGATAAAAAAACTGTAAAAGATTTCACCTAAAAATTGTATATTTATAATAAATTTCACAAAAGAATTCCTCAAAAAAGATATATTTACAAAGAAGATTTAAAATTCTTATCAAATCAAAATATGTTCAAAAATCTTTTTGAACTTCAAGAAATAGATAATTTTACAAAAATGATAAAAAAAAACTATAAAAGATTTCACCTAAAAATCGTATATTTATAATAAATTTCACAAAAGAATTCCTCAAAAAAGATATATTAACAAAGAAGATTTAAAATTTTTATCATAATATGTTCAAAAATCTTTTTGAACTTCAAGAAATATTTTTTAATTAAAATCTTGGGCGTGAAAATCACTAATAAATTGTAACAAAAATAAAATTACAATAGTAGCATGTCATTTTTTATTAAAAAACATCAAATAATAAATAATATGTTGTTTTCTTTTAAATAAATGCATTCGCAATATATTTATTGTTTCGCGGTAATGCGCTCGCGATAATGACTTTGCGTAAACATATTCGCGATAAAAAATTCGCTGTAAAGTGTTCGCGTAAAATGTTTTGCTAAAATGTATTCGCTCTAATAAATTGCACGGTTAAGGTATCGCGGAAATAAATTCTCGATAAACGACATTCGCGATAAAAGTTTCGCGAAAAAGTGTTTCGCGATAAAAGTTTCGCTGTATTGACCTGATACGATATAAAATTGTCACACTGTGACAGTCACACTGTGACAGTCACACTGTGACAGTCACACTGTGACAGTCACACTTTCACAAATTATAATATATATTTAAAAAATCGTTAATTTTGAAAAGTGTCTGTGGCCCAATCGGCAAGAGCGTCGCTTACAAATCTGATGGACTTAGGTTCGAATCCCAGCAAAAATTTTTTTTAATTAATCTGGCAAAATTAACCAAATAGAAGATACGATTCAAAGTTTGTAGCTACTTTAAAATTCAAACTATTAAATAGGTATTCTTATTATTCTTATATTTTTAAATTTTTAATTTCTTTTAAAAAATATTCGTCCAATAAAAATCACCATAGAATCAAATCATATCAAACATTCATTCATCTTCCATTACCATAAAACCATCACTATCTTATACATCATCATATATATATATATACTAAACTAACTGATATATTATAGATATTCTTACACAATTTTATATTAATATTACAATACATATATTAAATAAGTTTTTTTAAGGATTTTAAATATCAAATAGGCAATGGAAGTTAAATTTTTTAATTTAATTTTTATTTTATTATATTTTTATATTCCTGCACAAAATAATTAAATACACTGAATACACACCTAATATTATACCTATTCCTGAATATTTAGGGATCACTAGAACTTTAAATGCATCAAGTATTAATTCAAGAGGAATAAGAGATTTATTTAAATACTATTTTAATTCTTGAATTTATGTATAATTTATTTTATACCAATTCTATTGGGGAATCAGAATTTTCTCCTTTATTTGATGAGGAATGAATTAGAAATTTTCCTATCTTATGAGGTGTTATTTAAAAATTTATATTAATTTGGGGTTATTCTAAAATTTTCCATTATTTTTATAAAATATGTTAATGAAGAATATATTTAGTAATTTTAATTTATGTGCACAATTAAAAAGTCTTT